TTAAACACCATTTGTTGTCCACATGCCGCTTTACACGCCATTTATTCCCCACATGCCGTTTTAAACGCCACTTGTTGTCCACATGCCGTTTTAAACGCCACTTGTTGTCCACATGCCGTTTTAAACGCCATTTATTCCCCACATGTCGTTTTAAACGCCATTTATTCCCCAGATGCCGTTTTAAACGCCACTTGTTGTCCACATGTCGTTTTAAACGCCACTTGTTGTCCACATGCAGTTTTAAACGCCATTTGTTGTGTACATGCCACTAATCAGCTGTGGCAGGTGCCGGTGCCACAAAAGGAGCCTGCCCTTACTGCAGATTCACAAGGTACAGTGTTAAAATCCCCTGCTACTACAACATTATCTGTAGAATAAAACTTATTTCTATAAACAAAAACAAAACAAAACCTTTGTATCAAACAGTCATTTTTCTACCCACTGCAGTGGAAATCTTCATGGAAGTATTCTGTGGATCACTCTCCCGTCACAACACGTCCATCAATGACAGCGTGTCCCTCTCTCAAAAACGCCTTCAGACCTCTCTTCTTGGCTTCCTCCACTTTTGGCCACAAATGAAGGCGAGACTCGCGACCCTCTTTGCAAAAGTCCTCTCTGAAGCGAATGTTCATTTCTTTACATATCCTCGCATTTTTAGACATTTTCCACACTTGGTCACGAACAGTTCTCATGGCAAATTGTAGTATGATTTGTCTCGGTCTGTCAGACTTTCCCCTTTGACCCAGCCGGTGCACCACATCCACTGTGCTGTGCAGATGCTCGTTGCTGACAGGAACAACATCTTTTATCACTTTTATCACCTCTTCTCTTGTATTTTCTCCGTCTTTTTCTGGCACCCCGTTCAGCCGAAGGGACCAGCGGCGTTTGTATCTGGAGTGTTCAAGGCTCATTTCCCGGAGAGCAAAATTTTCTTTCTGTAGCATATTTATCTGTGTTTCCAGGCGGATTACATCTGCTGCTATGTCTTTCACAACTTTTGTGTTGGCTTCCACTGAATCTTTAACTTTTAAAACAGCGTCTGTATTCTCTTGAAAACGACGGTCCATGCCATGTAGTAGCTCATCTTGAGAGTCGAGCTTGCGTGTCAACCTCGTCACCTCGAGGTGCTTGTGTGGTCTTCCTCTGCTTCTTTGGGTGAGGGCTTTGTATTGGGGTGTGCTGACGAGTCTCATTTAAGTCGTCAAGTGGTACATTTAAGGGATCAGCGAGAGAATCTTGATTCCGTTGTTCCATCCAGGCAACATCATCCTCATCACAGTCATTTTGGAGATCGGCTAGGCAGGAGTAACCGTGGTCTGTAACGTGCGTTGACATGGTGTATGTTGAGAAAAAAGACAATAAAACTTTTCAACTCTGGCTTAAAATACAAAAACGTAATATATTCGATGTTGTTTAAGTTCAATTTGCGGCCAGTTAACGTGTGATTGAAGGTTTTAAATCAAGTTAATATCAGAGCTTATTGAAAGTTTTACCGCTCACTCCGCCATCTTGGAAAACCCCCACAGGAAGTATTTTTCTCCCAATCCTTTGAGCTGGTCGGTGTCACTCCCGTATTCGTCCCGGAAACCGGATTCATCCGGAAGTTCAGTTTGATCCAATGAGCATACGCAGCAGTAGATTACGTCACGGAATCTGGACGGAAGCGGAAGTAAATATAAAAAACTACCTATTCATGCCTAAACTTAACCAGCCATTCCCATAAAATAACCCAAACCCAGCCTTAACCCTAAACTTAACCATCTTAATCAGACGCCTAAACTTAACCAGTCACCACTTAAGGACATATTAAACTTTTTGACATGCGCAAACTGAACTTCCGGACAAATCCGGTTTCCGGGACAAATTCCGCATTAGATCATATACGGAATCGGGACGAAACCGGAAGTAACACTCGTACTTTCGAATTAGTTTTAGACTAATGAGTTCTTAAATGTTGACTGGTTAAGTTTTAGGCGTCTGAGTAAGATGGTTAAGGTTAGGGTTAAGGCTGGGTTGGGGTTATTTTATGGGAATGGCTGGTTAAGAATAGGCATGAATAGGTAGTTTGTTATATTTACTTCCGATTCCGTATATGATCTACGTGCAGGACTATACAAGGACTCTGATGATGACTCCATGTTTTGACTATGATTTGCACTGTCTCTGTGTGACGACACGTATGTCTTTCGATGTGTGACGTGGCAATGACTATATAAACTGTGTACTGACTCCATTTTGTGTGAGAGAAAGAAACAATTGAAACCACTGGAACTTGAGAGAAACTTAAATAAACTTCCAGAGTTTGGCGCACCACGATCCGTCTCTCTCTGGTTCATTCCTGACAGATTTGGTGGAAGGATGCGGGCATTGTCTGTAACATCTACAGAACAGAAGACATTATTATTATTTTTTTTACACAAAAATGTGTTTTTTTAAGCCAAAACTGAAAAACGTCAAGAGAACCCATGCATCTGGATCAACCCATGGACAATCTGCACAGCCCCTGATTCCACTCAGGCCTGCTGTGAGCTGGTGAGACATGGACAATACCATTGTCCTCTTTTGCTTGGACATAATTTGGAACAATCTGGATTTCTGAATTTGGACATAATCTGGACTGAATTGAATTGCTGACTCTGGACACTGAAGCTGAAACATGTGATTTGAAAGACACGTCACAGAAGAATTCATGGCTCGACACAACAAATGCAGCCTGAAGAAACCAACACGGAGAAGTGGGAGAGACTGTTTTCAAAGCAATATCTGGAACCATCGACTGATGAAGTTTGATATTTTACTGAAGATTGTTGACAAGTTTTATGAAAGATCTGAACATGTTTTATGAGTTTTCTGAGTTTTTTTAAGTATTCCGAGTACCGAGTGAAGTACCGAGTTTATGAGTTTTTGAAGTATTGAGATATGATGTTATGTTGCTGTTTATCGATCCTGATGATGACACGTGAATGTGTGACCAGAGGGGGAAATGTGAGATTTCATAACACTTTGAAGCAACTATTGTTAAAGTTCAAACTCATCCTTATTACATTTGCACGAGCCAGTACTTTTCCTGACAGTAGCTCAGTTGGTAGAGCATTGGCCTTTGGGCCTGAAGGTTGTGGGTTCAAGCCCACCACAAGACCTACTTCATGACTCCCACTGATGACTGCTGTCGTTGTGTCCTTGGGCAAGACACTTAACCCCACTTTGCCTGAAGCTCCCACTGAAAGATCTCAGCTCCTGTGGACTCACCACCTGCAGGAGGATCAGTGAGGGGCTGGTGCTAAGTGTACTGGGTGCAGCTCTGACTGCCACCCCCCCGACCCAGAAATGGATTAAGGGGAAGAAAATGGATGGATGGATGGATGTTCCCTTGTTTTGACTTCTGAAGGCCAAGCAACATGGCAACGTGGAAGCTGCTGATTGGATAATACACTTGGGCCCAGTCCCAATACCCACACTGCACCCTACACACTTCTACGAAGTGTGCATTTGTTCGAAGTGCACACCAGGGTTGGAGTGCGCAGGTAACAAGTGTGCAAAAAAGTCGGAATTGGGACAGTGCACACTGAGGGCAGGTGACGTCATCGACTCGTCAAGAGATGGTCATTTTCAGACCTAAACTTTATAAACATTAAAGGTAATTTTGTCTGACCCTTTGGGAAACAAAATGAATTGCTTCACACACGTTAAAATACATGTATATTAGCTGTTTTTAATTAGAGATAGCTGTATAATTTTAAGTTAAATGTGGGGAACTAACTATCTGGTCAGTTTTTATACATTCCTAAGATTATTGAACTAAGTGTAAAGTTTAAATTGAATGTTATATAAACGCTTGCTTTAAAAAGTGATTAAATTGTTAAAACACAATGTCCGTAATTCTTCATCAGACGTTTATGCTTCTTTCCAAGTAACATAGCAAAACTTATTTACACACATACTGCATATATATTTCAACATTTATATTTAAATGCATTTTCCCGACGTTTTGGTGTGTACCGCTAAGAATTATGGGCAATATCCTTCGCCAGAGTGCGCCATGGATCTATTATATTAACTGGATAGGGTACTACTAGCTTGTAGCTGAATAACTCATGTGCTCGGGGGATTCTCGAGGTACTGCAGACTGAACCAGACTAAATTCACGTGGGCTACCCAGAAATGTTAATGTATCCAATGCATATTAAAACTCAGCTCAACCTCAGCTGACAGAGAACCTACAACTTTAATGAAGATCGGATTTTGTGGAGATTTTAGTGTCTCTTGTCATCCTGAACTTTTTTTCTTCTTAAATCCTTCGGTTTTCTTTAAATCCACACTTTAGTGCCACAAACTCTGCTCGTCTGGCTCTCGCTCTAACTCCCGCTCTGATGAACTGCTCTGATTGGTCAGAGCGCGGCCGAGCCCCTCTGTGCACGTGCGTGAGACCCAGTGTGAGACCCACACACGCGTGTTTGGCGCAACGCATTATGGGAGATCATCCACTGCGCGAAACCGGGAGGACCAGACGATGCCCAAATACAGGCGAGTTTCCCATAGATCTTTGCGAGTTCCAGGCGACTTCCGCTAATCTTTCAGCCCCCATGCAGTCACAAAGCGCCACTGAGCACAACCATTCATTTGAATAGAGCGCCATCTTGGATCGCCGGGGCTTGGAGTGCGCATAGATGCAGGCTACGGCGAAGTGTGGATCAGGGGCGCACCCTTTATCGGGAACGCGCAAATGAGGGGCCCGAGGGTGGAAGTGCGAGTATTGGGACGGGGCCTCACTGTCGTAACATCCCTTGTTCGTGTGCTTTGTTCGTGCTGTCTCTACCATCGACAATAAAACATGTCTTCTGTCTGAATTAAAGACGCGATCCCAGACTTTGTCATCTTCTTCACTAGTGCTGACCCCTTTTGAGCTTGCAGATGTTGAACTCGAAGCATGTCCTCATGGAGAAGTGGTGGTCCTCTGGCTGCTGCGCGTCTGCCTCTCCGCCCAAGGCCACGAGATATTGCTAGCGGACGCCCTCTTCCTCGACCTCTTGTTTGAGCACGACCACGACCACCACTCCTCCGTGTAGTTTCTGCTATGACAGACATGGGCTCTGGACTCCAATTAGGATCGGACCCATAGCTTTCATTGTCGAAAGTCTAACATTACAACAAAGTTAAATATTGACAATGGTATGAGCAGAAATAACCTTATTTTTGTTTACAATGTCATAATTATTTATTTATTCAGGGACAGCCGTTACTATGTGTCGGCTCTCGGGTAATGTTAGCAGAGTACTGTATTTGGGGCGTTCACGGGTAGTCTGTACAAAAAGTATTGTTTAAACATTACAGAAAGTACAGGCCATGGAACTGTAGAGCAGTAAAATCCACATGTATGTGTTTGTCCTCATGGTATCTGTGGCTGCTGTGGTCAGACTCCAGTCTTTATGAACTGCGTGAAGCGGAGAGACCCGCGCACGTGCGGCCGTTATGTGAGATGTGAGTGAAAATATAGTATCTTACAGATATTGCTTATCCCGTGTGAATGTACTGTAAAATCTCAGACCTCCTCCGTGATTATCACAAATTACCAGGGGTCCACAGTAATACTAATCCCGTCCGAAAAGGCCTAATGATTACTTTTGCCTTGTGAGCTATATGCTCACATATAAATAAATATAAATATAGTTTAAATATATATAAACGTTCCCTAATGTTTTAAAAATGAAATACGAGGTCAATGCAATGTGTTTTAGGCTAGCTAGACAACGGTTGAAGTTGTAATTAGCTGGTCAGTATTCATTATAAATGGCTTTCAATTTTTATTTTTTACTTACCGGAGAATATTAACGGCTTATTAGCTGAGGGCGAGGTCTGTATGGAGAAATATCAGACCGCGGCCTTAATGTACAGTGCAAAAAGGCCAAGGTCTGATATTTCTCTGTACAGACCGAGCAAGCAAGGTTAATAAATGTTTTATTATATGACTATTTTTAATTTATGCAAATATGGATCTTCGACTTGGTTTTCCTAATCGTGTTTTTAGCTTTCTGGTCTGCAACGAAGTTGTCAATCTCATCTTGTCTGTTAGTTAGTTATTTTGTCTCCGTTATTTTCTGTAATTTCTTCCTCTGGCTTGTCAAACTCGTCCAGATAATAGAATTCACTGGGCGAATGCTCCCAGTTGTCGCCCATTATTTCTTTTTTACCGAGGAAACTCAGGAAAGATATCAATTGTGATACGCGCTGCGGACTGATTGTCATGGTAACGGTCCGAGGAAAGATATCAAGTGTGATACGCACTGTTAGGACCAATTGTCATGGTAACGGTGTGAGATGGGAAAATATCAGACCGGTAATCAGCCAATCAGAGCGTGGGTACGGTCCAAGTCATATAATAAGACATGTTCAACTGATGATAGATGATGTCACTTATGGATGTGCGTTCACGTGTGCCGGTTGTTTTGGTTTGGTGGAGAGGCGAGGGGAGGGGGGAGTGGTTTCGAGTTGGTACTACGGCTAAGCTAACAAAATCGCTTTCTGCATCTTTAAATAGAATGGGCGATGCGGGAAAATGCACACACAGGAGATTTTCGTGGCTTAGTATCACTCTTATTTTGAGTGTAAACTATTTTCAATGCAGCGTACGCCTTGTAGAGTTTGAATGAGTCCAATTTTGTTCAACAATGAGCAGGATTAAGCGGCTGTTATAGTGACGACAGTGGAACTCGCCACTCTGGGATCAACAGAACCACGTCAGAGATGATAGGTCTGATCAATAATACAATAAGTAGTACAATGTTGAGCTGTAAACAACAAAAAGTTCGGACTTATTCTCCAGGGGGGAGCGCTGTAGTGTTAAGCTAACAGCGAGGGAGGCAATGAACGCACCCGTCCTGGGGGCACAGAGCTCGGATAAAACTTCAGACATTACCTTAGTCCTCACAGTCGTGGGAATAACACAACGACTAGATTATACTGTATGTGAGCAGTGTATGTGAGAAGACTTAAAGTAGAAATATGTAAGTCATTAAATGGCCCCAAACTTTCAAAAGGCATTATTAAAGCTGCACTAAAACTGACTGTGAGAAATGTTCGGATGTGAGCGCTGGGCTCGCTCTTTTTGCTCGCCCTCCCCGCACCCACAGAGCTTTTTCCCCCCACTACCCCCTCCCCCTCAGCCTGTTCTCATAAATGTATAAATGCTGTGAAAAATTTGTAAATGCTAAATGTATACGGAGCTCACGTCTCACAATATTGATCGCACATTTGAACGTGGATGGCGTGACCATAGAATGAAAGGCCCGGGAAGCGCGGAGGAACGAGACTTTCTTTTGGAAGGCTGTTTTGCTGTGTAAGCAGTAACCGGTAACGAAGACAAGGGGAGTTTCAGGTTAGCCTCCGCCGCTTGTTTACCTCAGCTGTCTGTGCTAACAAGAGACCTGTGGATTTTCTCAAGAAAGTGTACAATATATTGATATGACTGGATTAAATAAGACTAGACTGCGTCATAATTACCCAGAAAGTAATTGTCTTTTATATAGTTATTCTTCGACCCATTCAGTGACAAACTATCTGTGTTCATAGAAGGATTGTGTTTGTCAGTCCCTTCTCTAGGGACTGTTGGAAAGTATACACAACCACAATATCACTCCAACCAAAACAAACTGTACTAATTCCCTTCTTTCCATATGTGATCCTGAATTGTTAGAAACCCTCTGTGTCCTCTCTGCAGCATGCTTTCTGTTATAGAAGCCATGGAAGCCAGAGTCGCCTATGCACTGCACTAGGGGTGACTGGTAAGATGTGGCTCTCTTCTCAGGCCGGTCTGGACTTGATCCATCGCTGGGTCGTTGTCCGTTAAAAAGTAGGTATCGGCCTTGTGAGTCGCGACCCATTCTGAAGAGCTCGTACTCGGTGTGGGGTAGCCGGATTCCCAGTGCGAGGCATCCATTAGTTTGTGTCACGTCCTGCTCCACGCCCACGTGCCATGACCGCTCGACTCCGCACTCGCCCCCACTAAAGACGTTCAGCAGAGAGGTGGTGGCCTGGTCCATGGGGGTGACGCGCATGTGGTTCACTGTGGGAAGAAGGACAGATGCAGGAATCACCCTCATTTTTAAGACTATTTACTTTCTCATTTCAAGTATAAAGTGACAGAAGTGTGTCAGAAGTATACAATGATGATTGAAGGATCTAAGAATCTTCATAAGTCCAACGGCAGAGGAGAAAAAAAAGTATTTAGTACAGTAGTATACCTAAGCATTTTTACAGCATCCATCCATCCATCCATTTTCTGCCCTTTAATCCATTTCTGGGTCAGGGGGGTGGCAGTCAGAGATGCCACCCAAGTCTCATAGCACTAGCCCCTCACTGACCCTCTGCAGGTGGTGAGTCCACAGGAGGACGGCTGCTCTCTGACTGTGAGCATAGCCTTGATCTTTCAGTGGGGGCTTTTGGGCAAAGTGGGGTTAAGTGTCTTGCCCAAGGACACAACGACACCAGTCATCAGTGGGAGTCGATGGAGAAGGTGCAGAGGTGGGAATTGAACCCACGACCTTCTGGCCTTAAGGCCAATGGTCTACCAACTGAGCATTTTACAGCAAGTGTGTCAAATTAAACGTATTTTCAAAGTTTCATGTGGCACTACTTTTTACTATAAAAACAGAATTTGGAAGTGAGTTACACCCAACCCTGCTTTGAAGTGATGAGATAAAACAAGCTAGTAAGTAAGTAATCTTTATTTATATACCGCCTTTCACAGACCAGAGTCACAAAGCGGTTTACAATTGGTTATTTTTTTTTTTTGGGCACTTGTCCTCTCACTCCACACAGAGATGGGAGCAGGGTCGCCGAACAGGAGGCGCATGCCAGGTCTATTGTACATATTTTTAGTGGTAGGGGAAACTGGAGAACCCGGAGGAAACCTACGCAGACACGGGGAGAACATGCAAACTCCACTCAAAAAGCCCCTGGTCCGACCGGATTCGAACCCAGGACCTTCTTGCTGAGAGGCGAAAGTGCTATCCACCATGGATCTATTATAATAACTGGATAGGGTATTACTAGCTTGTAGCTGAATAACCCATGTGCTCAGGGGATTCTCGCGGTACTGCAGACTGAACAAGACAAAATTCACGTGGGCTACCCAGAAATTTTCCCCATAGAACTCAATGCAAATTAAAACAGCTCGACCTCAGCTGACAGGGAACCTACAGCTATCATAAAGGTCGGATTTTGTGGGGATTTTAGTGTCCCTTGTCATCCTGAACTTTTTTTCTTCTTAAAACCTTCGGTTTTGTTTAAATCCACACTTTAGTGCCCCAAACTCTGCTCCTCTGGCTCTCGCTCTAACTCCCTCTCTGATGAACTGCTCTGATTGGTCAGAGCGCGGCCGAGCCCCTCTGTGCACGTGCGTGAGACCCGGTGTGAGACCCACACACGCGTGTTTGGCGCAACGCATTATGGGAGATCATCCACTGCGCACAACCGGGAGGACCAGACGATGCCCAAATACAGGCGAGTTTCCCATAGATCTTTGCGAGTTCCAGGCGACTTCCGCTAATCTTTCAGCCCCCATGCAGTCACAAAGCGCCACTGAGCACAACCATTCATTTGAATAGGGCGCCATCTTGGATCGCCGGGGCTTGCTATCCACTCAGCCACCGGGCTGCCCAAGCTATTTGTCTTCTGTCTGATTATGTAACTACCACTTCCACAACACTAATTCTGTTTTAAGGGTTAATGCCCTAAAACAGAAAGGTTAATGCCTTAAAAAGGGTTAACTTTGTCGAGTTGAGAAACTGGAGTTGGAGACTTGAGACTGATAGCATTAGACATTTATTCTTAACCAACACATGATCCAATGTTGAGTGTTGATTTTTTTTTTTACAAAAAGAGCACAATTTCTGGCATAAAGATAAGAAAAAACAGCCTCAAAGTTGCAAGTTCTATGGAAAAGTAGGCTGCCTCCAAACTTCAAAACTTACGTTCCCTGACCGGGAATCAAACCCCGACTGCGGTGGTGAGAGCACCAAATCCTAACCACTAGACCACCAGGAAGCGCTGTTTACACTTGAACCGACAGTAGCCAAAGAGGGCCGGTGTAACGTCGGTTTACACTGCCTTGTCGAGATACACTACCTCAGCTGTTTATGATGTAATGCAAACTTGCGCATGCGCTTCTCACGGCAGCCAAAGCAAACCAAGATGGCGGACATAAAGTCTGTGAATTGCTTTAAAAGTTTAAATACGATCGAATTAAAACACACGTGTCACTTTTGATGCAATTTGAGGAGAGATGATGAGGGTTCCATGTTGTAATATGTGGATTTTAAGAGTCAAAGTGCCGTGTATAGTTAGGTTAGTAGTAGTCAACTGCTCCTGTTGAACCACACTGCTACTGTTTTGACAGTAGCAGTGTGTAGCAGTCCTCATGTCGAGTTGAACTGCTGCATATGTCATTTTACTGACGTAGGACAATGACACGTCCTGTGGCTAACTCGACAGCTGTTAGCATGCAACTGGTCTGCCGGGTTGATAATGGAAATAATAAACAAAATCTATGTTGTAAGCATGGATCTATTAGCTGTCGAGTTAGCCACAAGACGCGTCATCGGCCTAGATCAGTAAAATGGCGTATGCCGTAGTTCAACTCAAATAGAGGACTGCAAAACAGTAGCAGTGTGGTTTCACAGGAGCAGTTGACCGCTTAAACCAAACTTTACACAAAACTTTGACTCTTAAAACCCACATATAACGATACGGAACCATCAACATTTTGCCTCACATTGCATTAAAAGTGACATTTGTGTCTTTATTAGTCCGTATTTAAACTTTTTTAACAATTCGCAGATGTTACGTCCGCCATCTTGGTTTGCTTTAGCTGCTGTGAGAAGCGCATGCGCATGCTTGCATTACATCATGAACAGTTGCATCTCGACAAGGCAGTGCAAACCGACGTTACACCGGCAGACTTCTGTATTACCACGCTATTATCCCTGCTGTTTGTCCGTTCAATGCTCAGAGCACTACTAAACATTTCAGTGTTGAACACAGTTCAAGAAGAGCAGGTATTTAAAAAACAAGATAAATCGGATTATACATTATTATATTCAGATTATATAATGTTTTCATGGGTTGCTTCTACCTTTAAACACAAAGTTGGTGCCTCCCATGATAGCATGGGAGAGAAGTCCTTGGCTGTAGCGTCCCCTAGCGTACAGAATGAAGGTGGGGTGTCGACACACTGGGTCGGAGTAGTGATAATAGCGTCCCTCCCAGGTGCGGTTGTGCTGGTGGAAGCTGAAGTGTCGGGTGAGGAACAGTACCTCGGGCCGCACCTCACAGCGCTGACTGACCCACTGACCGGAGAGTGACACTGTGATGTCAGGGCGCAGAGGGAGCACTGGAGGGCGCTGCTCGTCTGAACGTGACAGGATACGGCACACAACACAGCCACGCTCGTGGTGCTGAAGGGAAGAGGAAAAGTTCACAATATTACATTTGCTGGTGATGAGTAAAAGCAAACAAACTGCATCATGCTTTCAAGTTTGTCACAACATTGTGCCTTCATAAAAAACAGACCTGGTGTTGTTTTTATTTCTGTACAGTACACACAGCAATACATGACACTACCACGGATGGTATTAGACAAAACACACACACACAGCTTCAGGACAGACACAATAATGTCCAAGACATAATTGTGTCTGTCCTGAAGCTGGTCAAGGTCATCAGGACGTCCAGCTCTGTTCTGGGCTGTCCCCTGGTGCAGCAGGTGGGGGACAAGAGGGTCCTGGACAAACCAATATCCATGCTGGAACGGTCTGTGCGACAGTCTGCGCAACAGTCTGCGCGACAGTGACAGACAGATCCACCTTTGCTGTGTGAAGGAGAGTTTCCACAGGCAACAATTCACTTGTGGCTAGTTCTTGTAGTGTAGGGGTTATCACTTTCGCCTAGCTCGTGAAAGGTTCTCAGTTCGAAACTGGGCAGGAACAGTCTTGATATTGTTATTTACAGTAAATGATTAAATAAATCAATATTTTGATCAATTCTATCTGAAGATACAATTCCACTGTCCAAAATCGTGGGATATTGACCTAGTCTTTGTGTCAATGCCGTGAATCCGATAGCAATAAAAACTTTTTTTTTTTTTTTTATAGCTTGATGCTTATGTGTGGGTCAGGTGAAGAAATGTATAAAACCACACGGCCACACGTCACAAGAGGGACAATACTTTGCATGGTGTAACAAGAGTGGAATACGTTTGAAATGGGTTGTCAAGTATCCAGTTATAAATTTTCCCTCTGGTCTTTGGTCCCTGTCCAGACAAAGACTAAACGTGCAAAGGAACCAGCTCTGTAAGAGTCTCTCAGTTTATTTCCACACAAAGCTGAAAAACAAATACAATATTGAATTGTGTATAGAGTCTTACTGAAATACAACCTAATAAAGTAGTTAAAATGACAAGATTTGTAACTATCATGCCATAAAACCTTCATTAGCATAAAACCAATGCGTTATTATTATCATTACAAAGGCCTTACCGCAATTAAACTTTCCCATTACTCACAAACTCACCAATAAGGATATACATTTAGACCATTACCTCGTGATATGGTGATAACATCTACTCACATTGGCGTTTTGCAGGGCTGTCTGGTAACTGGACGGCTTGTAGTACATCCTTTGCTCCATCTCTGTGTGGACATCTCCCAAAAACAGCTCCTCCACCACATGGCCCTGGTCCAGGTCCAAGTCTTGGCTCTGGTCTTGGCTCCAATCCAGGTTTTGGCTTTGTATATATTTTTTTTCCACTCTGAGCAGCTGAAGTTCATGCATGGTGAAGTTGAGCTCTTTGGTGCAATCCAAGATCCCGTCTTCACTCCTTATTACATACAAAACTCCAACTTGAGCTGTAGTTTTGAATGCGACTTTGCAAGCTTGGGAAAGTTTACGACTCAAGTTTTTGGCCGTGGAATCAGAGTGAAAGATTATATTGATCCTGTGGAGATGATATTCGGACTCGGTACCGCCCCGAATTATCCAGGAGGCTTGCCGCAGTCGCAGCTTCCCCCAGATGACTAAAGTGTAGCTGAGTTTGCTGCATTGGTGGTCTTGATAATAAAACTGACGCGCCTTGAACGTGTTGTTGGTAAAGAAGTGGTAAGAGCGGGTCAGGAATTCTGGGCCGGGGCGAACCTCACAGCTGCAAAGAACAATAATAAGTGCTCATATCATTACATATTTGAGTTTAATGTTAAAGTGCAAATATACAACATTGTTTAGTACAGTCCTTCAAATAGAGGGACAGGGACCTAGGGGGGTTGCGTATTTTAACAATTGTAATTTGTTTAGGTTAACTGGAACTTTGAGAGGAGTGTCTGAAACAAATTTACCTAAAATTTACAGAATACTCACTGGTGGCCTAGTGGCTAGGATTCGGCACTGTCACCTCCGTGGCGAGTTTCGATTCCCGGTCACGGATCTAAGGCTTTAATCACAAAACTAAATAACCCAAACATCATTTTGAACCAAGAATCTGTAAAGCTGTCATTGTTTGTCAGGATGCATTTAAAAAGTACAAACATATATTATGATTTGCAATACTTTTAAATTGAATGTTGCAGCTCTGACTAGAGTCCTTAAAGCTACATATAGGAGGGTTTTACCGAATTCTAGGAAAGAACTGTCCTACTAAAATCTAGATCAGGGGTGTCCAAACCTTTTAGTAAGAGGGCCACTTTAGTTTATCAGACTTGACCTGGGACAGACAACCTGGATTTAAAAACTGGAATCGAGCTGTATTGACTGGATTCTGGAATTTAAAATGGATTATGGGTAATCAGGTGAAGAAATATGCCTTGTTTTAAGAAGCTTGTTGTGTTTATTTTTCTTAAGTTGTTGTCTGTTGACTTCCGGAAATGTAGGACAAGCGAGAGGTTGCATAATTTCCCATCTCTCCGCGGGTCTAACTTCCCCTTTGGCCATACCAGCTATTTTCCTAACAAAGTGATTTGACAAATATTCCAAGGGGAAGGAAATCCACGCGAAAGGCGCACCCTCACGGAGAAGAAACGGTCGTATCTCCGAGTGAAAGTGAGGACAGCAACGCAAGGGCTAACACGCTAACAAGCGCGGACAAACTAGCCAGATACAAAGTCATAAAGTCAAAGTCCGCTCGGATGTCAACGAAGCAACGGGACAACTCAGGCAAGACCTTTTTGATTTTAGAGGAAATAAACACTAGGCTCGCTGTTGTTGAGACCAACGTGAAACACATGTCTGACAGGATAGGAGAAGCTGAAAGATGAGTTAGCAACATGGAAGACATCAGCGCGGACGTCAGAGGACATCAGCGCGGACACACGCTTGAACTGCATGAACAGCTCCAAACACGGCTGGTTGGTTTGGAAGCGCGCTCACGCCTTACCTATTTGGTTTCATTGAGAGTTTCATTAAAGCAGAACACATCTCTCGGAATACAGCGATGTCACCGCTCACAAGCCTCCAACAAAAGCTAATGCGAGGTCAATCGTACTGTGTTTCCTCGAATTCAGAACCAAGGAGCTTGTACTCAAAGCAGCATGGAACAAAAAAGACATCCAATTCAAAGGAAGACTACACAAGTGACGCTTTGGCGAAAAGAAAAGTCTATGCACCTATTAGGAGAGCACTAAAAGAAAAAGGTCTTTGTGTCCACCTTCATATCGGTCCGGTGATTTACAGTAATGCGGTTGAAGCAGCAGAAGATTTGAGGAAAAATGCAGAAATCACCACTAGTGCGACAATGCCAGGGACACCCACCGAGACAAGAATGGCAAGACCACTATGCTAAAATGCTGGCGCATCACACCATCAACGTGAGATGAGGATTGCAAAAATCAAGGAAAGACTAAACCAATTTCCACGTGATGACTGCAGCATATGAGGTGCAGTCAATGCAGTGGAAACTTGTATGACCTTTTGTCAGGTTTAATAATCTTGTCCCATATGCTGAGATGCATATTCTTGTTTGCCCTCCCCAATGTGAGCTGCTCTGATTGATACGGATTGGACCCTGCAGCACACATCCAGAGGGGCTCTTCAGTTCAGAAAATGCATTTGATTCTGTCCGTTGGGAGTTTTTATTTTTAACCTTAAAACGCTTTGGTTTCAATAGTAATGTAATTGCCTGTCTAGCCTCTCTTTACAGCTCACCAAGTGCCAGAATTAAAATTAACGGGGACCTATCAAAAACAGTTTCTCTAAATCGAGGCTGCCACCATGGATGCCCCTTGAGTGCAAGTCTGTTTGCGCTGTACATTGAACCTCTGGCTCAAGCAATCAGAGAATCAAACCAGATAATAGGTATTAATCTGTGTGATACAGAATATAAAATGTGCCTATACGCGGATGATGTCCTACTCACACTTTCCGAACCTCATCATTCTGAAAGCTCTTATACCCCTTTTGATACTTTCGGTTTCAACTCTGGTTATAAATTAAACCTTCATAAAACATTCAATTATAAACCAAGCAAATATCTTATAAAACATTTAAAATGCAAATTGAACAACACAACAATCAAATACCTAAGAGTCCAAATACCCAAACAACAAAACGAGATGTGTAAACACAATTATGATCCATTGACAATCAGCATTACAACAGACCTGGACCGATGGTCATTACTCCCTATGAACATGCACAACAGAATCAAAATGATTAAGAGGACTATATTGACTAAACTAGTCCTAGTACCTGTTTCTCGCGCTGCCCGTTGCGGAGTCATCCAAGCGATATATTGAATGGAATAGATTGATTTCTAATTGTATTTGAAATTTAAAAAAGCCTAGAATAAAACAGTGCAATTGACCAAAAAGGAGGGTGGAATGGCTTTGCCGTGTCTGGAAAATGATTATGAAGCGGCCAAACTTAGAATCTTGGTCGCATGGTTTGACCCATTTAAAGCTGCATTACCTCACTATATTTTTGTATTCATAAGGAAAATTCAATCCATATCCATGCAACGCATTGGGCTATACGTCCTTTTGAAGAAAAACTAGCGCAGATTTTTGCTGGCATGTCATTTTATTTTATATCGAGTTTTTGTGCAACAAGGAAGAGAATTTCTTTTGGGACCAGATTGTGACCAATCACAGCGGACCACTGGCCCCCACTTTCTTGAGAAAAGCTACAGGTCTCTCGTTAGCACAGACAGCTGAGGTAAACAAGCGGCGGAGGCTAAACTGAAAAGTCCTGTGTCTTTGTTACCGGTTACTGCTTACACGGCGAAACATCCATCCAAAAGAAAGCCTCCGCGCTTCCCGGTTCTATCATTCTGTGGTCACGCCATCCACGTTCAAATGTGCGATCCATATCGTGAGACGTGAGCTCCATAAAAACACATAAGTACAGGCTGAGTAGGAGGTGGGAGGGGGGAGATAGCTTCGTGGGTGCGAAGCCAAAAGGGGGAGGGCGATCTGAAAGAGCGAGGCCAGCGCTCACATTCGAAAATTTCATAAAGTGAGTTAGTGCAGCTTGAATGAGGCAAATGGAAGTCAATGGATAAGCAGAGATTGGTGGTGTCCCACTCTCTTCCATTTTAGGTGATAAAACAAAGTCGTATTAATGTATTAAGATACCACTGAATATTTGGGTTAATATAATTAAACAAGAGACGGTTGAGAGAGAGGCAAGAATACTGTGTTGGACAGCTTATGATACTGAATTCATTCCTGCTGGATATGACGGCAGATTTAGGTGTTGGTGTAACAGGGGCCTCACTGCAAATTGGAAAATAACTACAGAAGGCAATATGAAATCATTTCAAGAACTATCAGAAAAATTTGACCTGGGGAAAAAAAAGATTTTTATTCTTCAGCTAAGGTATCATTTCACTGTAAACATTAAACCTACAAGCCATGGAGGTGATGCTCTTGTCAGACTATTTATTGATACATGTAAGGGGAATAATTTTGGGAAGCATGTGCCTTCTGTCTACTCTGTCTTACAATCAAATAAAAAAACTTTCCATTATCACAAATGTGAAAAAGAGACAGGGATACCTCTAACAGATGAGGATTGGGCAAATATATGCAATACCATCATAAAAACCTCAAGCTCTGACTTATGGAGAGAATATGCTTGGAAAAATGTTGTAAGATACTTCCTGACTCCCAGAATCAAAGAACTTCAAACTAAAAGTGCTGCTGGGGTGTCTGTCTGTTGGAGGAAGTGTGGGAGAGTATCAGCTGGGCATTTTTACGTATTCTGGGAATGCCCTGTGATTGCCCCCTACTGGACAGAGATAATATAAAGAAATTAAGTCGATTTCCAGGCTGCATCTGGAGGAGAGTTTCCGAACTCTCTATTTGGGCAACATACTTGTTGGACTGAGAAAAAAAGACGCTATCTTCTCCAGATAATGCTTGTGACAAGTAAGAAGGCGATCACCCGAAAATGGCTACAGGACTAACCACCAAAAAAATCCGACTGGATTACAGTCGTGACAGAAATTCTTAAAATGGAAAGACTAAGGCCTGGACTCCACCGGGCGCGTCTCCGTTGACGCGCGTTGGCTGCTGTCCGTCAGCCGTCCGTAAAACGGACCAGTGGTCAAACCGGCTGCAGCAGCGCGCAACTCTGGCTGTGCGTTTATCAGCCTGCTTTGTTTTTGTAGGATACATGTTTGGGCATTGTGTGAATGAATGAATGTTTGGCTGATGGAGGAGTTATGTATTGTCGGCGTGCATGTGTGCGTGAGAGAGCGCCCGTGTGTGTGTGGTGGGAGGCGTGTGCGTGCATGTGTGTTTGGGTCTGTGACTGCAGCGTTTATTATGATCCAGCCTCTTCGTTTGTTTTCTACTTATTTAGCGCGTCAACACTTTTATCGGACCCAACTCCCCTCTCCGCGGCTTTAGGCAACAGGCAGCCGCTATAGTTTTAAATAGAAGAAGCGGTGTGTGATTTGCATGAGCTGTGGCTATGATCTATGATGATCTGCAAAAGCACGGCATATTGAAGCATTGAGGACGTCGCGATGGATGAGGCAAAACTTATTGAAAGCAATTGGAAAAAGGGGAGAGAGAAAAAAGAAAAGAACTCTAACATATCCAGTGTTGTGAGATCTGTCTCTCATGAGTGCAGCTCTGTGTGTAATGTGTGTGTGTGTGTGTTTGTGTGTGTGTGTGGGAGCGCGCGGCGGTGAGGAGAGAGCGCCTCGCAGGTAGACGGGACAGAGCGAGAGAAAAAAGAGCGAGGTGTATGTAAAGATTAGCGTATTAACATTACGCGAAAAATAAATGGTAGATTTACGATCACGAAACAATTATTTAAAGTAATACATGAAGAAAATTACACACGTTTGTTAATAATCATTGTCATTAACAAATACTTATAACCAAGGGCTACAGCATATATCAATACATGTTTAACAATGTTGTAAATATATTATTCCATTGTATTTTCAATGGAAAACGGACCCGACACGCGTCGACGGACGGAACAAATAGGATTGTTTCTATTTCGTCCGTCCGCGTCCGTTGCACCCTCCGTTGACGGAATACGTCCGACGTGCGTTGGACGGACGCATGCGGAGGCAGTGGAGCCACTTCCATTCACCCTCATGGAGATAACGGAGACGGAGATGAAACGGACATGTTTGGACGGATCCGTCGTCCGGTTTACGCGCCCGGTGGAGTCGGGGCCTAACATTTTCACTGAGACACTCAACAGAGACATTTTGGAAATATTGGGAAAAATGTAGATGCTTTATTTAAAATGTGAGTGAATCTCAAAGTGTAACAATGCTTAAGACAATGCTTATTTGTTCCATCTGAAAATTTTTTTTTTTTTAAATGTCTAAAAAAAGTTGTTGTCTGTTATATTTATTGGTGTCACAAGGGGATGCCAATGCCTTGTGTATGTAAAATTCAAATAATGACAAATACAGTAAACGTACAGCTCACAGTGGTTTGTTTTAACTGAGAGCTGGTAGGGCACAAATTTAACCAGTGGAATCTATTGTGCTTTTTGTCCTGTAAATGGATTCTGGAAGGTCTGAGATTTACAACAATGTTTAGCATGACTATATGGTGGAGCAGAAGTTGGTTGGATGACACTGTCCAAGTGTCTCAATGACGACTTTGTGTTAGCGGCAGAGGGCCACAAAAAATGGCACAGAGGGCCATAATTGGCCCGCGGGCCTGAGTTTGGACATGCCTGATCTAGATGATCCACCCGGAAGAAGAAAATCCTCCCATATACCTTTAAATATAAATACTTTCACTTAAGTCAAGCTTTTATTAACAGATTTGAATTTATTCCAGTGCATCTTACTTCTTAATTCCAAATAAGAAGTAACAGATCAGCCATGGATCATGGTTACAGACCTGGTAGAGACCCAGTGGCCCTCCACGTGTGGCGGCATCTGCACAGTGGTCCTGGCCCCCTGTTGTTTCAACATGTGCTGACACTGGGGGAGTTGAGAGACGCCATCCAGCACCGAGCAGGCTACCCAAACTGCGGACACAAGGTATGATTAATCACTATTTAGTTTGAAAATAATATGTTTATGTCTAATGTTTTTAATGGATGAATAGACCATATAAAATGCAACAATGAATAATAATAACTAATCAAAAGCTAATCCAAAAAGGTGTGTCTTGACCCTGCTCTTAAAAGACCTTTATAAAGTTGTCCTTGAAAATGTTTGTATTGTTCCATGTGGGTGACTGACTTGCTCTAGCCTTTTATGATGTTATTCTCTGGTTATTTAGATTTTTAGATTGTTTGTATTAATGTTTTATTCAGCAATACAGAAAAAAGAGACAAATATATGAAAACACAATGACATACAAAAAAGAACAACAAAACAGGAGAGACAAAAGGAAACGTGTGTGTGTGTGTGTGTGCGTGCGTACTCTGTGTGTGTGCACATGCTCTTTAAGTTGGTTTTATGTCTGTGTGTTTGATCCGTTGAGAGAATGCGCAAAGGGTGTAGATGTCAAGGAAGACAACAATGGTGGTGGCTACCATGACTAAAGTTAAACCAGGGCAAAGTTGCCAAAGGGACTATAATTTATATGTAACCAAGTCTTTCCTTCTGAGATGGGAATGTTATGTTGTGCATTAAAAACGGGGTGAGGTGCATTAAAAACAGCATGTGAGGATGCATTTTCTTTTGTACACACATACATCTGTAAGTACCCATTCACACACACAAATACATACACTTACATACGAACTCATTATGTTTGACAGAGGAAGACTTGGGTATACTTATTCAGAATTTCAAGTCTATGGTTACAAAGCCCTTTAAGAGGGAGATAGCAGCTGAATCTTTACCAAAAGTAATTGTAACTGGGCTGTTCAAATGCCATCATTATATTCAATACCACTAGACACCACATTGCTCCCAGCATCACACCACTGCACTTTGCCTCTAATACTTACATTAAATAATAATAGTAATAATAAAAAGACCCGAAAATATAGACACGCCCGAGCGTACACTTAGGTCCGTTGGCAAAAGAGAAAAAAAAAAAAAGTAGATTTTTAGATTTTTTAGATTTTTAATTTTGTCACACAGTAAAATTAATATAGTAAATATTGGATGAGCTAGGGTAGAACATTTATCATGATTTTCCGTGGGAAATGAAAATTAAAAACACTGCACAATTAGCTTCACATATTCGTCAAATTATTCATACATTTGAATTGATTATTTTGGAGCCATAATCTCTAATCAATTCCCTCCTGCATTTCCATACAATATTTCTGCCAGGGTCTATTCACGAAATCTTAATAAACATTTCTTGTTCAAATGCAATGACTATATATCCGCACCTCATCATGCATCTGCCAGGTTTAATTGTCAAATCATGCAGCTATAATAAAATATCAGTTCAGGAAGGTTCATCTTGTCCTCTTAGTAGAATAAGGTTATTTGGTATTTATATACCAGACAATAGTAGTTTAGCACTGTTATTACCTTGACATGTTGCAATGGTGTACCTCTGGCTTCCTCGCTTTTAGACGCAAGGAATATAATAAAAATTTTTTTTGTCTTGAGCCTATGTAGATAAAAAAACAATGATAGACAACGAATATTAACGGACGTAGTCATGCCTATCTCCGGCGCTGAAACTAATGTGTCACCACTTTCGCCGTCTGCGGGCACTTTCAAAACGGCTGCGGGGGCTGGAAAATGTATTTGCGCATGCGTCAGCCAGCATGAGCCCCATTCATTTGACGAATGCCTTCCAAATTCCACAGCGACTAAACTAGACTGGTCCAAAAAATATACTCCCCTCAGCATTGACACACCTTGGGACAAAAACCGTTTTCGAGAGGTAAGAAGATGCTAGATAGATAGATAAATACTTTATTGACCCCCGTATAGGAGAGATTCAGGTGCCCAGTAGCAGCAAAAATAAAATTGATCATTCTAAAAAGCTAATAATAGTATTAATCAGTCACAGGCAGCAAAGATGGAGTGGTCTCTGGGTGGAGCAGGACGGGTCACAGCAGCAGAGGTGGAGTAGCCTCTGGGTGGAGCAGGACGGGCCACGGCAGCAGAGGTGGAGTAGCCTCTGGGTGGAGCAGGACGGGTCACAGCAGCAGAGGTGGAGTAGCCGCTGGGTGGAGCAGGACGGATCACAAGGTGGAGTAGCCGCTTGGTTTGGACCATTTTCTCTAGTCCAAAGTAAAATGCTAAATGCTTCATTAGCATTTTTCAAAAAGTACTATACAATAGCATTGGCTAGTTCTTATTCCGGGTCCACCCCCATCTAACCGGGGAGGTATTGCAAGCATGGTGGACCCGCCCCCACTGGTCCTGCTCCACACCTGTCCCAAGCCCCGGCGCATGTGCCGGAATGGGCGCCGAAAGATTAGCGGAACTTGTCATATCACTCGCTATATTTGGGCATCGTCTGGTCCTCCCGGTTCTGCGCAGTGGACGAGCTCCCCTGATGCGTTGCGCCAAATAGGCAAGGCAAGTTTATTTATATAGCACAATTCATACACAAGGCAATTCAAAGTGCTGAACAAAACAAGAAAGCATTAAAATCATAAATAATCACAGAACATTAAAAAGAAAGATAAAAATATAAAATTCCTCAGTTGTATGCACAGTTAAACAGAACTGTCTTTAACCTGGTTTTAAACATTGTCAGAGAGGAGGCCTGTCTCACATCTTCAGGAAGACTGTTCCAGATTTTAGCAGCATGAATCTGAAAAGCAGCCTCCCCATGTTTAGTTCTGACTCTGGACACTAACAGGAGTCCAGTCCCTGTGCTCCTCAGAGTCCGGGCTGGTTCATATGGGACTAACATGTCACTAATATATTTTGGTGTGAGGCCATGGAGAGACTTGTACACAAGCAGAGCTGTTTTAAAGTCTATTCTCTGAGCCACAGGAAGCCAGTGCAGAGACCTGAGGACTGGACTGATATGGTCGTACTTCCTGGTTCTAGTCAGGACTCCAGCTGCTGCATTTGGAATGTACTGTTTTACAGCCTGTTTGGACAGACCTGTGAGCAGGCCATTGCAGTAGTCTAACCTACTGGAGACAAATGCATGGATAAGAATCTCCAGGTCTGCTTTAGACACTATGTTTTTGATCCTGGCAATGTTTTTTAGATGGTAAAAAGCTGCTGATGTTACTGATTTGATGTGGCTATTAAAGGAATAGTTCACCGTTTTTACATACTGACAAATGTTCTTACCTTACCTTAGACTAGTTAATACGTACCTGTCTGGTCTTAGTCCGTGCGCTCTGTCATGCAAACGGAGCAAAAACGGGAGCACAACCGCAGCCTCCTCTGTATATTTTGTAGCACCAAAAGGTAGCTCCCGCTAGAAGCTACCAAACTCTTCCAAGTGTTCCCTATTAAATGTATATAGTTAGCAGCGAGAGAGAAGTCTCCGGAGAGAAGTTAGTGCGCAGAGAAGTTAGGAGCGCTACGTCCGCGCACTAACTTCTCTCCGGAGACTTCTCTCTCGCTGCTACTGTGTGTATTACAAGTCACGCTGCTTCTATTGACGGAAGTGAGCGAGAGAGAAGTCTCCGGAGAGAAGTTAGTGCGCGGACGTAGCGCCCCTCAGATTACTACGCCTCACAATATAGTACCCGTTTTATCCGCTGAGAAAATCGACTGTTACATTTCTGTGTTACTATACTTTGCAGTGTAACACGTCACGTAACTATATACATTTAATAGGGAACACTTGGAAGAGTTTGGTAGCTTCTAGCGGGAGCTACCTTTTGGTGCTACAAAATATACAGAGGTGGCTGCGGTTGTGCTCCCGTTTTTGCTCCGTTTGCATGACAGAGCGCACGGACTAAGACCAGACAGGTACGTATTAACTAGTCTAAGGTAAGGTAAGAACATATGTCAGTATGTAAAAACGGTGAACTATTCCTTTAAAATGTAAGTCTGAGTCCAGTATTACCCCTAGATTTCTGACCTTGTTTGAAGGTTTTAGGGAGAGAGACTGTAGGTGACAGATGACGCTCTCTCTTTGTTTCTGGGGACCAAAGACAATCATTTCAGTTTTGTCTGCGTTTAGCTGAAGGAAGTTGTTTTGCATCCACTCACTGATCTGTTGGATACAGTGAAGGAGTGAGTCCACTGGTCCATGTTCTCCTGCAGTCAGTGAGACATAGATCTGAGTGTCGTCTGCATAGTTATGATAGGAAACTTCGTTTCTGCGTATTAACTGACCTAACGGCAGCATGTATAGATTGAACAGAAGAGGTCCCAGGATCGACCCCTGTGGTACTCCACAGGTCAGGGCGATATGCTCTGAGACACAGTTTCCAATCTCCACAAAGTATTTCCTGTCCTCAAGGTAAGACCTAAACCAACTTAGGGCGGTGCCAGCGACTCCAACCCAGTCCTCTAATCTCTGTAAGAGGATTGAAGAAGATGACATAGTCTGGGATCGCGTCTTACATTCAGACAGAAGACATGTTTTATTGTCGATGGTAGAGACAGCACGATCAAAGCACACGATCACAGAAACAATAGAATGCAAGTGTATTATACAGAGCGGAGGCATGGAGACCTCCAATCAGCAGCTTCCACGGTGTGCTTGTAGCTTGGCCTTCAGATAGACAAAACAAGGGAAAAGTACTGGCTTCTGCACATTGATAGAATGATGAGTTTAACTTTAACAAAAGTTGCTTAAAAGTGTTATGAAATCTCACATTCCCCCCTCTGGGTCATACATTCACGTGTGACCATCAGGATCGATAAACAGCAACATAACATCATAACTCAATACATCAAAAACTCAAACTCGGTACTTCACTCTGTACTTCAAAAAACTCAGAACTCGGAATACTTCAAAAACTCATAAAACTCATAAAACATGTTCAGATCTTTCATAAAACTTGTCAACAATCTTCAGTAAAATACCAAACTTCATCAGTCGATGGTTCCAGATATTGCTTTGAAAACAGTCTCTCCCACTTCTCTGTGTTGATTCTTTCAGGCTGCATTTGTGTCGAGCCAT